ACTCACTCAGTCAGTCAGTCACTCAGTCAGACAGACAGTCAGTCGCGAAATCTCCCGCTCGTCAAAGTCACAGTCGACCTGCAACAAGGACACAGTCACTCAGTCAGTCACTCAGTTAGTCACTCAGTCAGTCAGTTAGTCACTCAGACAGTAAGTCACTCAGTTAGTCAGTCACTTAGTCAGTCACTTAGTCAGTCAGTCAGTCACTCAGTTAGTCACTCAGTAAGACAGACAGTCAGTCGCGAAATCTCCCGCTCGTCAAAGTCACAGTCGACATGCAACAAGGACAGTCACTCAGTTAGTCACTCAGTCAGTCACTCAGTTAGTCACTCAGTTAGCCACTCAGATAGTCACTCAGTTAGTCACTCAGTCAGTCAGTCAGTCACTTAGTCAGTCAGTCACTCAGTTAGTCACTCAGTTAGTCACTCAGTCACTCAGTCAGTAAGTTAGTCACTCAGTTAGTCACTCAGTCAGTCACTCAGTCAGACAGACAGTCAGTCGCGAAATCTCCCGCTCGTCAAAGTCACAGTCGACCTGCAACAAGGACACAGTCACTCAGTTAGTCACTCAGTTAGTCAGTCAGTCACTCAGTCAGTCACTCAGTCACTCAGTCAGTCAGTCACTCAGTCAGTCAGTCACTTAGTCAGTCAGTCACTCAGTTAGTCACTCAGTTAGTCACTTAGTCAGTCAGTCACTCAGTCACTCAGTTAGTCAGACAGTTAGTCGCGAAATCTCCCGCTCGTCAAAGTCACAGTCGACCTGCAACAAGGACAGTCACTCAGTCACTCAGTTAGTCAGTCACTTAGTCAGTCAGTCACTCACTCAGTCAGTCACTCAGTCACTCACTCAGTTAGTCACTCAGTTAGTCAGTTAGTTAGTCACTCAGTCACTCAGTCAGTCACTCAGTCACTCAGTCAGACAGACAGTCAGTCGCGAAATCTCCCGCTCGTCAAAGTCACAATCGACCTGCAACAAGGACACAGTCACTCAGTTAGTCACTCAGTTAGTCACTCAGTCACTCAGTTAGTCACTCAGTCAGTCACTCAGTCAGTCACTCACTCAGTCACTCAGTCAGCCACTCAGTTAGTCACTCAGTCATTCAGTCACTCAGTCAGTCACTCAGTCAGTCAGTCACTCAGTCAGTCACTCAGTCACTCAGTTAGTCAGACAGTCAGTCGCAAAATCTCCCGCTCGTCAAAATCACAGTCGACCTGAAACAAGGACAGTCACTCAGTTAGTCACTCAGTTAGTCACTCAGTCACTCAGTTAGTCACTCAGTCAGTCACTCAGTCAGTCACTCACTCAGTCACTCAGTCAGCCACTCAGTTAGTCACTCAGTCAGTCAGTCACTCAGTCAGTCACTCAGTCACTCAGTTAGTCAGACAGTCAGTCGCAAAATCTCCCGCTCGTCAAAGTCACAGTCGACCTGCAACAAGGACACAGTCACTCAGTTAGTCACTCAGTCAGTCACTCAGTCAGTCAGTCACTCAGTCAGTCAGTCACTCAGTCACTCAGTAAGTCAGTCACTCAGTCAGTCACTCAGTTAGTCACTCAGTTAGTCACTTAGTTAGTCACTTAGTCAGTCAGTCACTCAGTCACTCAGTCAGACAGTCAGTCGCGAAATCTCCCGCTCGTCAAAGTCACAGTCGACCTGCAACAAGGACACAGTCACTCAGTTAGTCAGTCACTTAGTCAGTCACTTAGTCAGTCAGTCACTCACTCAGTCAGCCAGTCAGTCATTCACTCAGTCAGTTACTCACTCACTCAGTTACTCAGTCAGTCACTCAGTCAGTCACTCAGTCAGTCACTCAGTCAGTCAGTCACTCAGTCACTCAGTCAGACAGACAGTTAGTCAGACAGTCAGTCGCGAAATCTCCCGCTCGTCAAAGTCACAGTCGACCTGCAACAAGGACAGTCACTCAGTTAGTCACTTAGTTAGTCAGTCACTCAGTCACTCAGTCAGTCAGTCACTCAGTTAGTCACTCAGTCACTCAGTCACTCAGTCAGACAGACAGTCACTCAGTCACTCAGTTAGTCACTCAGTTAGTCACTCAGTTAGTCAGTCACTCAGTCATTCAGTTAGTCACTCAGTTAGTCAGTCACTTAGTCACTCAGTTAGTCACTCAGTTAGTCACTCAGTCACTCAGTCAGTCAGTCACTCAGTTAGTCACTCAGTCAGTCACTCAGTCAGTCACTCAGTCACTCAGTTAGTCACTCAGTTAGTCAGTCACTCAGTCATTCAGTCAGTCAGTCACTCAGTCAGACAGTCAGTCAGACAGTCAGTCGCGAAATCTCCCGCTCGTCAAAATCACAGTTGACCTGAAACAAGGACACAGTCACTCAGTTAGTCACTCAGTTAGTCACTCAGATAGTCACTCAGTTAGTCACTCAGATAGTCACTCAGTTAGTCACTCAGTTAGTCAGTCAGTCACTTAGTCAGTTAGTCACTCAGTCACTCAGTTAGTCACTCAGTCAGTCACTCAGTCAGTCACTCAGTTAC